CCAGCCCCCCCCCCCCGGTTGCTACGGCCCTGTTTAACCTTTCCCAACGCCGGGAGGTGCATGACTTCTCACGAGTGTTTTTAGAATACATAACTTTATCCACGACCCACTAACATTTCACCACAGAATAAGGTACACAGAAGGTCGACTCAAGTAACGCTGCCACGCCATGATTCATCATCAAAATGCTGACGCCATGGTCCTAGCCAGTGCGGGTTTGAGAGGCATTCCCCCCCTGGATATCCGCCATTTTGAATGATATCAGGGGGGTGAATGCCTCTCAGACGCGCACTGGCTAGGACCATGGCGTCAGCATTTGATGACGAATCACGAGTTACGCCAAAATCATAGGAAAAACGAAGAAGTCGGCCTTCTGTGTACCTTATTCTGTGATTTCACCCTCGACCCACAATGAAATATATCATCACATGAGAATTACATTGTATTGACTGTTTACACCCCCACATGTGATCTCTTCAATATCCGGTAGAAATACCAAACCTCTGATAGACATGCAGAGAAAATTGCACACATATGGCAGCGAATGAATGAATATACTACGACATTATGTTGAGCAGTGAAGGTATCTCATTTACGGCGTGTTTTTGAAATGCAACGTACATAATTTTAGCACGAAATTCAGTATAGTTGTGTTTCTTGCAATGTTACCATAGCAATTTCAACGTACGCAAATTTAATTATGATATGTATAAGAACAAATGCACACAACGGAAAAATTTACATATAGCTCCAAATAATTAAAATTTGCACAACGTTCAGTTGCACTTTATTAGAGAAGGATATTATAGAAATTTGAACGTAACATAATCTAATTACTGTATAATATGCACATAATCACACAGACAAATTTACATATTCAAATATGGTTTATGAAATCAAATATAACATTTACATAAGCCTGATTCTCGTATTACGTTCGTCTTGTTAAAAATTATTTTAGCCGAGACAACAATTTTAATAAGAGCCATAAACAATTTAGTTATGCGAAAATTTATTTAAGATGATTCATTAGTAATTGTCCTGGAAATGAGAATTTGTTGACACTTTCCAGGGGTGAAGTTTATGATATACTCATAGTAAAAACAGAAAAAAAATTTGGGGTCACCGAACTCGTCTCGAAGATATGACAAGTGCAATATTGGTAGCCACCTTAAAATCACCTTTCCCCCCATATGGCGCCATCTTGACCCTTTTACGAGTTACAAGAACAATTGCAAGGTTCCTACTAAATGTGTCTATCTAGTGAATACATACAAGAAAACATGGTATTGTAGCGAATCAAAAACCATTGACGTGCACTGTCGTGGTGCAAAGACGTATTTTCCCATCTTCTCAGACATGTTATTTTGGGAAGCATGCGCGAAAACTGTAAAATGTAATAAATTGTAGAAATGATTTTTCCTCTTATTTTCTGATATGACATGTAAAACGTATAGAAGAACAAAAATGTAAAATAAAAAAGTGGGGTCACGGACCTTCTTAAAAAGATACAAGAAAGGGTTAAACATGCAACTTGATGACCAGGATACAAGAAAGGGTTAAACATGCAACATGATGTGGTTTAGTGTTAGTTGCATCTATGGCTATGCACCTAATCAAAGCAGAGTGTTTTTGCATCTACTGACTGATTTTCAATCAGTAGCTGCATTGTCAGGACCTAACGTCCGTGGATGTCGGGAAAAGACAGGTGATGATGTATAGATGACGTATCGATGATTATAATGCATTGCGAGCATAGAAATTGCGAGCTGAAGTCGGTTATCTACCGTTAGTTCCGCTGTTGTCCATAAATGGTTTTGTAAATAACACTCTGAATAACACGAGTACTCAATAAAATGGTTTTGTCAATATACACGAGCGAAGTGCAATACCAAGAATGCCGTATAACTGCGCGAGAGGATGACGACTTTGTATGTTCATATCTTCGGTTCAGTGCACAATAGTTTTAGTCATTATCAACATTGTAGCGATTGTAGCCTTTGAAAGTCAAGCGAGATCGCATGTTATCAAATTACACAATTGTCTGAACTCTTTCTCGACGACTTTGTATGTTCATATCTTCGGTTCAGTGCTAGGTTAGTTCAGTGCATGCTTCATTCGATTCAGTGAAAACAATATCAACTAATTCCTCACAATAGTTTATGTCACTATCAACATTGTGGCGATTTATGGCCTTTCAAAGTCAAGCGAGATCGTATATTATCAAATTACGCAATGTCTGAACAAAGATATAACTTCGGCCCCGTATCTTCATTGCAATATTCTTGTACGAATCATTATCAATAACTACTGTGTGGAGTGTTTATATTTTCGAGATTGTATCTTCAAATTTGTATCTTTTAGTTTTATCACGGTATATAAAAAATTCCGATTTCTAGCCCGACTGTGAGCTAACAACAACAATAAACTAGCAATCCCGTCAACAATGCGACGTTTGCACGTTGTACTTGTGTTATGACTCTGGAAATGCCAGAAATCGATTCCAAAGGTCAGCTAGAGTGCACATCTATGCTTTTATCTGCTCAATGCCTTTTATTTCCCAGTGCTACTACTCCTATTCAGTAGATGCATGTCCGCGCCACAGCGGACCTATGTTTCTCTTTGCCCTTAAGGCCCGGTCACACTACACAACGATAACGATACGATAAATTGTAAACACGCGATAATTGGCAAAAAAATTGTGTTAGTGCCCACACAACAACGAAAATGATAAAATTATCGTTAGACGATAACGATTTTAAAATCGCTCACCTGAGCGATTTTTTTTCAGTCGGGACGATAACGATAAATTTTTGACCAATCAGCGTGCGTATACAAGTTATCGTATCGTTATCGTTGTGTAGTGTGACCTGGGTTTTACTCTTTCTTTATCACTTCACATTGCTGCAGTTCGACTACATATATTAGCTAGAATTCGTTATTAGATATGCGCAGTATAAAAGCGCGCAATGCAAAACTGATGAATCATCTTATATATTATAGTAGTATATGAACTATTCTGCAATGACTGCAATCTGATTGGTTGAGCAGCGAAAAACAAGATGGTGGGCACAAAAACTACAAGAGCTTTGCAGGCCAGAAAAAAGGGGAAACGTCGCTCTAATTAGATGCCCAAATTTTTTTGACAGATTAGCAAATACATTCATTTGCAATGAATAGAGCTAGCTATCCAGTATTGGTGGTTTTTAATCAACCCTTTGAGGTCTATAAGACAAAAATATGGCGGCTACGCTCCAAATAAAAAAGAATATTTTGTATATGTTACGTAACACGTACTCAAAACTCAAAACTAATGATTCAATCACTTCGTTATAACTATATTAAATTTCTTAAAAGTTTTTATTTTTAAAATATCTGTAAAATAATGCTAAAGTGAAGAGACTTTAGATGGTACGCCAAAGACAAAATGATGTCTGAAGTTTTGCTTATATTGCTGCATAAATATGGCGTCAATTTTACAGCATCAATGATAATTGCATTACCTACCAGAGGACCTTGTGCTGCATTTTTCGCAGTCGTTCCTGGTTAGGTCTTAAAATGTATATATTCTCACTTGGATTACAAACCCTAACATTCTAATATTAATTCCACCAAGTGAAGTGCAAGAATCCAAATCATTGAAGTCTATCTTCAAATTTGTATCTTTTAGTTTTATCACGGTATATAAAAAATTCCGATTTCTAGCCCGACTGTGAGCTAACAACAACAATAAACAAGACGTTCTATGGAGCGTTAACTCCCTGGGGCTATACAAATACGCACATTACTGTATATGATACCAGGTACAGTACACAGCTATTTCAATTAAGATCTAAGCCTGGCCCCGAGCTAAGCGGAAAAGTCGAATACGAGCGCGAAAGCTTAATAACACACAAAAATGTGGTACCCTACAAATAAAACTTCCGGCGTATTTGAGAGTTAATCACTATTTAACTACAAAATAGTGATTAAAAAAGTGATTAAGAGTTTTATAAAACCGGCCCCAGATTTCAAAAGCAAATTGAAATCGAGAGTAAGATAGTTTTTCGCCGGAAGATACTGAGCGATTGAGAGAATGGAAATATATAGCCCAAACATGTAGACAACCCATTTAAAAAGAAAGCCACAAACAACATCAAATTTTAATTAAGCTTACGTTTCGTTGCTTCTTGCAGCATGTTGAGAACAATATAAAGTTACTCCGTGTGTACAACAGCTTTTATACACAGCGGTATAAACGGTCAAATTTGAATAAGCGATTAGAATTTGGAAACCAAAAACTTGTTCCAAGCTCTTTCCAAACTTCAGATAAAAAGGTAGCTAAGACCCAATGCAGGTATGTTTTTACCTTAGTATAAAACTCATTAGATTGCAGACGTCTATTAGAATCAATAGAATAAAGAAATAATCAGAAATTGCGATAAGATTAGCTAGCTTGTAATTGAATTTTATCTAAAATTTGTGTTGATCGGCCAATTAATAATATAGACGGCCGGCCAAGTGATCAATTTGTTCAACTGGATGGCAACTTTATGTTAGAAGCTGGTAACAGGCATTTTCTTATAGTTCAAGCCTTGGTGAACAAGACTATATGTGTTACCACTTCTGATTTTAGCTTTATAGCCAAAAATTTGAGAATTTTTAAATTTTGCCTATTAAATTACTATGATCGGAAAAAATGTAAAATTTCATTTTCTCTTATACGAAAAATAAACTATACCATTAGAAAGAGCGTAAAAAACTATATACAAGACAATTAAGTGAGTTCTACGTTTGTCCAATCCTATTTCGAGTTTTTAATGTTAAAAAATGCAGAAATGACCAAATTAATGCTAATTAGTACCCATTTTGCCAACTTTAACAATCTTTAATTCAAAATCGGCTTGAAAATCGCACTAGTCGCTTAGTTATCTTATATATAGTTTTTTGAGCTCTTTCTAGTGGTATAGTTTATTTTTTGTATAAGAGAACATGAAATTTTACATTTTTTGCCATCATAGTAATTTAATAGGCAAAATTTTAAAATTCTCAATTTTTTGGCTATAAAGCAAAAATCAGAAGTGGTAACACAAACAGTCTTATTCACCAAGGCTTAAACTATAAGAAAATGCCTGTTACCATGGCCAGCTTCTAACATAAAGTTGCCATCAAACTCTCTTTAGAGGTACTTTTTGCTACCTTGGCCGGCCGACTAATAATACTCCATATGAAATCATGAAATAATTAATGAAATGGCCAAACGAAAGAGTTGAAGGAGACTCTGAAAATTCCATATCCGATGAGGTGGCGCCTCTCGGAATTGCCCGCTACCCCCCCATAAGTTTATAAAGATTCCTACGCCCCTGGTACTAATTAAGAAAGAAAGAAATTTCCGACACGAAGCGGGCGATTATTAGACATTGGGCGTCTATTAGAATGCACACGGTACGATAAAGACTTACCCCAACAATAGCTTCATTACAGACATCACAATGTGGCGCGAACTTCATATCATAACAATTTTCACAATACAGATTATCTGACTCTTCAACGAAGCCTTTATTCTGCAGAGATTTCCTACATCCAGCACAGTTGAAATGTTCCGGATGCCAGTTGCGGCCCAACGCACTCAGAAATGACCCCCTAAAGTTGACAGAGAGTATTCTTAACGAAGTTTAGCCGCAGGAACGGAAAAATTATGTACTTGTAAACATTGCCGTCTAGGTAATAGTATTCTGAAAGATATATGGCCCAGTGTAGGTAGTATTCTACAATAAGCTGTCGTGGTTTGTGTCTAACTACCTGATAAAGATATCTCAAACATGGTGGTCCAGTGTAGGTAGTATTCTACAATAAGCTGCCGTGCTTTGTGTCTGAACTAACTGAAAAACTTATCTAAAACGCAGTGGTTCAGTGTAGGTACTGTAGTATTCTAGAACTAGGTTACCCACAGGGCAGTAATGCTGCCTTTGACAGCAAAAGACAAACTACAGGGTGTTGAACGAGTCCTTCAGAAACATCCTATTATTGTTATCCTTGTTAACCCATTTATTAACAGTACCCTACCACTGACTGAGTATTAAAAATCGTCTGGCGTTGGACAGGGTAAATACTAAAGTAGGGGCCATTACTGTGTTGATGAATTAACAAGAGCCATTGGCAGATAGGTTTGTTAACCCATTTACTGGCAGTACCCTATACCACTGATGAGTAAAATCTTCTGGCGTTGGACAAGGGAAGGGCGCATTGCCAGCTAATGGGTTAAACCACCGTGGTTAAACATAAGATTTCATGATGCTCCAGGAAATGTAAACAAGCTATCAGTGTGACATCCCAGTTTATATATTTATATACTCGGAATATTGATTTATCGGTATATACAAAATTGTTATTTGTGGTGTTACTCCGAGTGTATATCCACACCGGGCGAGCTTGAAAAATATGCCCGGCCACGGTGGGATTCGAACCTACGACCTTTGGAATACTAGCCCAATGCTCTTCCAACTGAGCTACGCGGTCAGGACGGTTCGAGTAAGTGATATTTCGGAACAGAATCTAGTTCCTTCGATACCAATGTATTCTAGTAATATGAATTTTTCTGTGTTGGTGTAGTGTACTCAGGTGAATATGATATTTGTGATGTTACTCTGAGTGTATATCCACAACGGACGAGCTTGAAAATATGCCGGCCACGGTGGGAATCGAACCTACGACCTTTGGATAACTAGCCCAATGCTCTGCCAACCGAGCTACGCGGGCAGGACGGCTCGAGTAAGTGATATTCCGGAATAGAATCTAGTTCCTTCGATACCAGTGTAATCTAGTAATATGATTTTTCTGTGTTGGTGTTGTGTACTCAGGTGAATATGATGCTTGTGACGTTACTCTGAGTGTATATCCACACCGGACAAGCTTGAAAATATGCCCGGCCACGGTGGGAATCGAACCTACGACCTTTGGAATACTAGCCCAATGCTCTGCCAACTGAGCTACGCGGTCAGGACGGTTCGAGTAAGTGGTATTTCGGAACAGAATCTAGTTCCTTCGATACCAATGTAATCTTGTAATATGTTTTTTTTTCTGTGTTGGTGTTGTGTACTCAGGTGAATGTGATATTTGTGATGTTACTCTGAGTGTATATCCACAAGTTTAGAGAAAGTGCAGAGGAGAGCCACTAGATTTATTATTGGCAGAGATTATTCTGAGTATGAACGCAGTAAGTTGAATTTACTTCCTTTACAATATCGAAGAGAAATAAATGACATCATCTTCTTCTTCTTCAAATGCTTCAAGAATATCTATGCAGTTGATATATTTGAGTATATTTCTTTTCGCTCCTGTTGCAAGTCACTTAGAAATGTAGAACATTTAACTCTTGCGATCCCTTTTAGCGGGACCGAAGCTTTTAAGATCTCATATTTTGTACGTATTTGTCGTCTTTGGAATGACTTACCGCTTGTGATAAGAGAATCTAATAACTTAGTCACTTTTCGTAATAGGTTACTTCAATTTTATAAGGATAAATTTTCTGAAACCTTTTTGTCGTAATAATAATAATTAAGTAGTATGTAAATAATAATTTTTAATAGTGACTGAGTAGGGTGGAGCCGATTAGTAGTTAGGCTTCAAATATATTTGTACTTAGATTATATATGCATTCTTATATGTATTCTTATTGTATAGGCTAATAGATTAACTCACATCAGGTGGCTTATGATAGGGAATCTTGAATTCTGTTTTAAGCTCACCTCAAATTACATTATAATTATATGCAATTTGTAATTTAATTTGATGTATATTTGGAAATTGATTAAAGTTTAAAGTTCTGTCTAGAATTTATAAGCAAAAAAGGGCCGAAAAAATAACTAAGTTAAGAAGAGTATTTTAGTATTCCCATGACCAAATAATTGTCCAGCGGATGAAACATATAAAAATTTGTGTGTAAAAATACGGAAAATCAAGCCCCAGGCACTTAAAAATACAGGGCCGGACAAGTTCCCATTTCCCGTTCACCACATCCTAGTTGGGTCCCTTTCTCTTGATGGCCCCTCCACTGACAAATTATTAAAAGAGGCCCTGACTCGAAATTTCCATCTACCAAAACCTTTCAACATCTAGTACTATTGAGTGAGATGCCCCAAATCCTTATATTTACCCAATATACCTTAATCTAATAAGACAATTATGTGCTGTATTATCCCTTGGCTTTAGTGACCGTGTATTAAAGAGAACGGCTGCCGACTGAATACTTTTTTATAACAGACTGTTACTAAAGAACTCTTAAAAACCCATGCAAGAGAAATCATATCTCTTTGTAATATGAAAAAGGAAGCAAAACGACGCTATTATAGTGCAAAAGTCAGTGTATTGAAGCTCGTTTGTTTCACACTGCAAGTGTTTATGAGAATGATATTAGGAGTTCATATATTTCTGTAGGTTGCATTTTGCTATGTTGTGGAGAACACTGAAGATTGGCAAGAACTTTTAACAGAACATGACAACCTTGTTCGTAAATATGAACGTGCAAAGGTATGGCAAGTCAAATTACAAGAAAACATTATTACATATTCAGACTTTCAAGTAGTTTGTGTTATTTGTTTAGGCGATACTTGAAGAGACAGGCGAACGACCTCAACACAGAGTTAAACCAATCATTGGAAGTAAAACTGACTCCATTCAATATTTCGAGGAAGAACTGAAAGTATGTCCTGCTTCATTTTATTGAATATTGGCTTCGATATATTGAACAGCATGTAGGCCTAATTAGAAATAGTTTATTTCGAACTAAAATCTCCATTGATCTAAGAAAAAAGAAGCTTTTCTGACGCCATACAACCCGGCGGCAACAAGCAAAGGAGTGAGTTTTAGTGAAGTAAAAACAAAGTATAATATTGCTTATAAGTACTATTTTCTTTACTCAATTACTTCTCTGTTACTGCGCGGTTTGCAACCTTATTCCCAGTCGTTCAAACATGGCAGACAAGGCCTAGTCGCATTGCGTGCATGAGATGTAAAATAGGTCACGTGTTGCTTTGAAGTTTGCCGGCCTTCCAAACCCGGTCAGTATATATTAACTATGCTTATAGTTCTGGATATCAACTATAGTTAGTATATTCAACGCATTTTAATCCCAGTCGTAAGTAAATGTTTTGAAATTTAGTCACTCAAATTTAATTTTTATTCATATATTCTTGAACGCGCAGAAACTACAAGATAAATTAGTTGAACAAGACGCTGATGCTACCAGACGCGTTGTACGAGCAGCAATAATAACTTTCAAAACCCTTCGTGATGCAAGTATTGCTGCTCAAGTACTCTGGCAAGCTACGCCTTACCACACCATGGTGAAGCTTGCACCAGAACCACGAAATATCATTTGGAAAAATCTCGAATATCCGTTATGGAACAGGTAAACTCATTATAACGTTAACTTTAACGTTGATACATAAGCGTACGAGGCCGGGGGAGGGGCACAGCTCCCCCCCCCCTCCCCACCTCGAAAAATTAAAGTTGGGCAAATTATAAACGTAAGTTGGGCGAAAAGATGGCGGAAATAAATTTAAAGGCATGAAATATTTTAGATAATAGTTGAAAATGCAAGAAATATGTAACATTTCCAGAAAATATTGTATACTATTTCAAAGTTCCCTACAATTTTTTTCATTATTGTAGATGGCTTCGTTGGTTAATCATCAGCATACTTTTGTTTCTTCTGGTTGTTTTCTGGATGATACCAGTAACCTTCGTTCAATCTTTGGTTACAATTGAAAGTCTTGAAAAGAAAATATCGTTTCTAAATTTTGGTAAGACATGAAGAATGATTGGACTTTCACATTGCTTAGGGAAGCCTCACATATCGATTTTTTCCACGAGAAACGTCATATGTTCGTTTGGGGGTGGGGGGGTTGGCAGCTGTGACGTTTCTCTGTAAACATCATGGAAAAATTCGATAGTTTTTATCTTTGCAGAATATAAAAAAGAAAACAATTTGATACAAACAGCAGTCTATATATTCCTAATATTCGTAATACCATACCTGTCCTATACTTATACATTTATATTATTACGCCTTCCTTGCATTGAAAACACTCAAATTAAAAAAAAACGCGCTAAAATTATCAATATTTCATGCAAAATAAGTTGTTTTGAGAAACGTTGGAAATTTTGAAGTTCATACTTATATTAATAAAAAAGAGTATGTCAGCAGAAGATGACATATTCCTCGCGGATCCGGAAGCATCGCCAATAGCCGACCGAAAAAAATCGTAGAAAATTACCTTATGTGTACTACAATAAGATCAAAATATCGATAACTATGTGTGACGTTTCTAAGGGGGGGTGGGGGGGTCTCCAGAGAAACGAACATATGACGTTTCTCGTGGACAAAATCGATATGTGAGGCTTCCCTTACATATTTCGCTACGTTAGAAGTTTGACTAGATTATTGCAAATGCGATAAGCTGGTATATACTTAACTTTTATGTTCAAAGGTCTTGTAGACAAGAATTTCGAGCGAAAACTATGTACATATTTTAGACCTAACGAGGAGAAGTTGCAAAAAATGGCAAGGCCCTCCGGAATCGAACCCGCGGTACTGCGATTCCGGTGCAGCGCTTTGACCACTGAGCTGCAGAGTCCATGCGGTTGCCAAGAAGTTGAACAGTCTAACCATCAGTCATCCAAAGAGGCTTCCTAGCATCACAATTAAGGTGCGACGCCATATGCTACGATCGACAGCGAACACTACATTGAACAGGATATGTGTCGTTACGGGAAATTTCAAGTTCAGAACTCAAATATAGCATACGACGTATTTCGTGTCTATGAGACCATTATAATACAATGCTTTTATATTTTTAATAGTGAATGATTTAAATCCTGCTGTCCTGGGTATTATTGAAGGAGTGCTAGCCACCATAGCTTTTGTCATATTTTTTGCAATTCTTCCAATGGTAAGTTAACATGTTTTATATGACATGGAAAATTTGGTACCAGTCTACGGGAGAATTTCTATTCTTTCTTAATTAAACGCATAGCTTTTTATGAGTTTCAATAACTACTTATTTCTTTACGTGTTTTGTGTTATAGATCCTGACATTTATGTCACGCCAACAAGGTCTTGTGTCATTTAGTGATGTAGAATCATCAGTTATTGAAAAACTTTATATATTTACGGTAAGTGAAAATCCTGATATCGTCTTCGAAACCTAAAGAAGGATTACTAGGATTTTACTTTACTATAACCATTAATGCAGAATAATGAATTGTTTCTGGTTGCAATCAAAATTATGAAGAGCCAGTGGCGGCTGAACGGGGGGGGGGAGGTTATATCCCCCTATCCACCCACCCCCTATTCCGCCGTCCCTGTGCTGTGAAAATCTTTTGAACATGAAATGTTTAAAACTTAAAAAAGAGGAAATTGTTTTTCCTTTAAACTGTTACGTGTTGTGTTTTGGTTTAAAAGTAGTATAACAAATATATATATTCAGGTAAAACAAATATTGCTCGTGGAGTGCGTAAAATTGCGCCTATCCTCCAATGAGTTGGTTATTCCTATATAAAGAGCTTAATTTGGTCTTTGACATGGGCGTACCGGAAGGAAAAAATTAGGGGGGCGGAAAGAAAATTGCCCGACTTTTCGTAAAATTGCCCGACTTTTCGTGATTGTGCCCGACTAGTACCAAAAAATTTTCCCCGGAAAATTTATTTTGGCGACCTCATCCCCCCCCCCCGTCGCCAAAAAAATTTCGGTCAGTGTATTAAGGGGTCAAAAAAATTTTCCGGACATACCAAAATTTTTCGGAGCATCACATAAATTTTCAAAAAAAACACTACATTTGCCACAAAATTGACTACATTTTCGAAAAAATTGACAGAATTTGTCCGATTTTTTTTTAAACAACCCAAAATTGCCCGACTGTTAATCGAATATTGCCCGACTGCCCAAAAAACTGGGGGGGGGGGCTACCCCTTAAGATAATCAGCTTTTGAACAAACGGCCCCTGACGGACTCAAACCAATTAACAAATAAACTGACGTGAAAACATTATACAAGAAGCAATTGTTTATTTTCAGATTGTGAACAAGTTCCTGGGTTCGGTTCTTGCTGGAGCATTTTTTGACAAAGTACAAGGAATTCTTGATCATCCAACATCACTTCCTGAATTGCTGGCTATGTCCCTTCCTGCTGTTGGATCGTTTTTCATTAACTATGTCATTCTTGAAGCATTAACTGGCCACGCAACAAATTTATTACGTATTGGGCCTCTTGTTATCTGTAATATCAAGAAAAGATGGTAATTTTGTTTATCACCGTTCCATTAAAAACTGACGAAGGGCGATGTTGTTTTTATATTTTTTTATGTGGTTGTATCATCTACAACTGACGTCCGCAGTTTGTATTCTTCGGCCACATGCACTGGTCCCCACCTGAAATAAAGTATGAAACTAACGCCAAATTCTTTGTTTGCAATAGCTGAATTCATAGTAGAAGACGGATTTCCGTCTAAGACGGGAAACTCGTCTCAGAAGAGAAACTCGTCTTGATATAAATTCGGTTAACGACGGGTTTTCCGTCTCAACTTTTCCGTCTAAAGGCTGCATTCCAGTTACGCGTTTTTCATACGTGCGTACACGCACGTAAAAGTTGAATTCGCTTTACATCCTACTTATGAAATAACTAAATTTATAAAAGGACAGCATTCAGTTTTGTGTATGATGTGTATTTGTATAGTGTTTAATGTGTATTTGTTAAGGTTATTTGCACTTATATGAAATTTTAAGCGAATTCAACTTTTACGTGCATGTACGCACGTATGAAAAACGCGTAACTGGAATGCAGCCTTAACTTTCCCGTCTGAAGACTCTGAACGACGGGAAAGTTAGACGAGTTTCTCGTCTTAGACGGAAATCCGTCTTAAATCCGTCTTAAATTTATATCAGACGAATAAATCAAGACGGGTTTCTGTTCGTAACGTTCAAAAGAGACTCGGATGGAGAGTCTCCTATTTTTTTGGGTTCATCCGTCAAATCCGTCTTCTAATATGAATTCAGCTAATGACGTAATTTTGGGATTTCAGTTGACGGGCTGGTATAACAAAAACTATTTTAATGTATTCATCGAGTTTAGAGACAGTTTAATACGTAAAAGATGAATTGCCGTTCAGTTTTTCTTGCTACAATCATTCTGATAGGAGAAAAATCGTCCACAAGTTGTTTGATTGCCCGTCATTTGGATGAAGAGTCACGTGATTTCAAACAAAGAATACGGGGTCCGTCTTGAACTGAATTTAGAATCTTGTCTCAAACATTAATTGATACTTCTATTCGGAGTTTGTTCCATACTTTATTTCATGACGTTTTCGGCTGGCAGCGAATTTTCGTCTGCTAGTTACTGTACCTGTGATTAGCTGTATAGTGGGAAACACTGTAGGCCTAATCCAGATTGTCACATGACATGAAATCCTAAATATTTTGATATTTTTAAAGGTTGGCTAAAACTGAGCGAGAACAGAAAATGGTATGGAGTCCTCCACCACCAAGTTATGGAGAAATGGTAACTATCGTTATTTTTCATTTAGTTTAAACATTTTAATTAGCAAGTGAAATATTAATAAGAGGTTGATCTGAAGTAAAATTTAAATAAAAGTATTGAACTCGTTTTTATAAAACTAACAGGCAACCTGACCATGCTATAGTCACTACAATTGTTGATGAGGTCTTGTTGTGATATTGACTTGACTACTTTTGCTTAAATACAGTATAGCATGTCATGAGCATAATGCATTAACACTAATAAAAAGTTACACATCATTGTCTACTAAGATAAAACATAACGTGGAAAACGAGTTCAGCACTTTTGTTGATATGTTCCCAGCTACTGTTTTATTTTTTAACAACATTCATTAAATTAGCTATTCAAGATACACAAAATAAATAGCCAATGTGACGGGACACGAACAGGACAAATCTAATGTGAGATCTAAAACAAAGTGGATCTCTTGAAAATACAATACATTGACCGTGAGTCCGTGACTGAGTTTTTCTTTTATTTCCTTTTTAGTACTCAGCAGATTTATTTGTATTCATAATTGGTGTTTGTTACTGTATCCAAGCTCCCATTGTTATTCCTTTTGTTTTACTTTACTTTGGCTTTGGTTATATTGTTAACTTCTACTTCATGGTGTACGTGATGCGACCTCAATATAATGCTGGGGGTAAAATGTGGTTTCCTGTTTTTAACAGGTATGTTTTATTTCAGTTTGTTCTGTAGTCTTAGGAAGTATAGTGAGAGATTGCTGTTTCAGAGCCACTGGTATTGGACCTTTTGGAAACCTTGCGAAATCTCAGTGTATATACAGTGCCATATTTTATCAATAATCATACTACATGTAAATGGGGAAAAGTACCATCGATCAGACTACTTTGACTTACAAAGGCAATTGACCCACCACCCTTAGAGGGGGAGGGCGTCTAACACCTCCCCCCACTCGTCAAATTATTTTTCCCAGCCGGCAAATTGTTTTCCCAGTCGGCAAAACATGAATTGGATAATGAGGAAGGGAAAAAACTAAAATATTGGAGTGAAACTGAAAAAACTGACGTACCGCTTCCCCCGGACAAATTAGCAATCTATCCATAATATAACTTTTGTAAACGAAGCAAATTTTGTGAAACTTTATATTAATTTTATATTAAAATGGTTAATTTTTGGGCTGTATGTGGTTGTTGTACCCGAACAGATATTGTTAGGGAGCATCTGGAGGACACTCTAAGGATTTGTGACGTCAGTGCAATGGGTCTATATAATGTCCTCATAGATCTTATTTTGTAATGTAAAATCTTTCTTCTTACACTCCATATTTTGCATGTAACTCTTATTAATACACTCTTTCGATACTTCCTCACGCGAGTACTTCCTTGTTTGGAGAGCCTCGCTCTTATGAATCAAGACGAAAGGAATTCACTCACGAGTCACGAGAATGAAGCTACCAAGGAGAGACTTGTCTGACTTGTGGTGTAATTATTGAACGGTGATTTTAGCAACATTTTAGCGGAACGTTTTTTGATACTATATTATGGTATATATATCGGAGATTTATAGTGATCATTTAAGATCTTGACCAAGTTTAATTAACATCATGTATGATAAATTGATAATGATATATTGGTTTAATATGTTTTAGGATGGTGTTTGCTGTGATTGTTTTTCAAATTTTAATGATCGGAATCTTTGCATTAAAGAATAACGTTTCAGTTTCTACTCTGTCAATTCCTCCGTTGTTTGTGACAATAATATTTTACATATTTATTAATATGTATTGGACGAGAATTGGTAGTTTCATGGAACTAACAAATTTTTCAACACCTGATGGTGATACATCTGTTGATGAAATTTTTTTAAAGGTATTGTATGGAGAGTTATTTAGTAAAATTGCAATAGGATGTTATTATACCTGTCCTTCATGTGACTCATGTAGACTTTATTAATATAGTCCTTTCAAAATCAACACGATGCCATTAATTTCCCATTTTCCCGTCCTTCAGAACAATTTACAAAATCTTCATTTCTCTTTCTCTTGAAATGTTGCTCTTCCTCTTGAACAAAGGCTCACCTCAAAGAGTAAATTTTAGCAGTTCTCAAAGATCGTTTATGATGCGGCACGCTCCGAGATTCAAATATTAGCCCATCAATACAATATATTTTATCGAATAAAAAAAAAATAAGACTTGCCTTTTTCGATTTCTCTTAAAAACCTGTCGAACAAACAACTGAACAAGGCCAATTTCCCGGATTTCAAACAGGGGCGTAGGAACTGGGGGGCCAGGGGGCCAGGCCCCCCAAGTTTTGGCAAGTGCCCTTTTTCCGGGAGCAAAGTGCCCTCTTCTTGCGTGAAAAATGTCATTAAGATTGCATTTTTTTCCCAAAGGGTACTTTTGAAAACTTGAATCTACGTTATTTCCGGAAAATTTTTTCCACTTCTGGGAAAAATATCGTATATCCGGAAAATTTTTTGGTATATCCGGAAAATTTTTTTCATATTTAGGAAAAAATGTGATATATCCGGTCGCCAACATATCTGGGAAAAAAATTTTAGATGCCTTTTTTTCCAAAAAGTGCCCCTCAAAGCCTGCCCCCCCAACTTTTAGAAGCTTCCTACGCCCCTGATTTCAAACATTTAACTTTATACTTTTCCATTCGGGAATGAAAACGTCTGCGGGATCATTGAGCCCATTGATCTCTGGAAATCGTATCGCCTCAACATGAAAATTTGGATGCACGTGATACGTTATACTGACATTTAAACATTTTCTTGAGTATTTCCTGCTTCTGTCATAAAATAATGATGACTGATGTGTTGTTAAATTGTGGCGCTTGGCGCGGTGTCTTTTTTGGCGTTGGAAACTTGGATATAGCAAGTAAAATTTCGAAAATCGAACGTTTTAGCAAAACATGGCGGCCTCTGCAGGCTAGTAATGAATATGAAATAACACAATCACACTCATGAAATAACTACAATCTAATAATGAATATGAAATAACACCTGAGTTTTGTATAGGTTAATTAATTCCTTGGGTACTGTTAATTATTTAATTAAAACAGCTTCACTAAAGAGAAAAAAGATAAATTAGGGGAATAGAAAAGTTTTTTGTAACCTACTTATACTTACTATAGCTTCTCCTTGCCTTGCTTTCTTTCCCCAATTGAAAAACAGTGAAGTTGGTCTGTATTCTGGAAAGACACACACTTTTTTATTTAATTATTTTAATTATTTAAAAATGCCCGGAAAATATTGGTGAAAATCTTTATAATTTTTTTATTTGTAGACTGCACATGAAAAGTACATCCGCAATAAAATTGTCCCGTCACTATACGCCGTGAGCACTGATGACGTAATCAGCGAAGACAGCGATGTGGCGCAAAATGATGACAACAAAAATCAACCATTAAATGAATTGACAGATGAAGCTGAATCAAGTGTGTTGGACAAGAGAGGAATCGTTTGAATGGCGCTTAGTCCCGTTTACACGTTACCGGACAAATAGCTATATATCCTCACTGCTCGCTTCCCCGCACAATACCTTTAACTGAAGGAATATTAAGATTGGGGCTAAATAATATTCAGCCAAAGGTAGATTGCGACGAAGCTAGGCCCCGGAAGTGTCACAGCCGAGGGAGGTGGGTGGATCCGAAAACATTTCAACGCCGTCGTTACTTTTTGGTGGCAAATGCTCAAAAATACTGATTTTGTGCTACTTTTATGCTGTCTGATAATCACGTGGTATATATGAAGGACCAACTAATCATCTCATGTATAAATATCGGATTATATGGTATTGTGAGGGAAAACTCCCAGTGATAATATTTGTCCGGTACAATTTCTAACCAGTGCATTGTTGTAAGTTGACAAAAACTTGCACGGATAGGTGGTCCCATCTAACATGAACTGCCAGAATAATTCATAAATCTATTCAGTATACATGTATTTCATTGTATTACCCATTACACTCTGCGCATGCCTGGATTGCGTTGATGTCATTGTGTTGTACCGCATATCTTAGTGAGAGCATGTTATAAATATGAATGTATCACGTGTCTAGACGTATACCAAGCTGCACTGACGAGGCGTGGAACTCTATCTGGACGATTCTTTAATTTCGTGTGGTAATAGTCAAGGAAGCTGGTTAGAGCGGTCCATTCAAGACGATGGAAACCGATGGTTTGATTCGTCGGATCCGTCCACTCGTCTGGCGGTTTGATTCGTGGGGTCCGCACGAATGGAGAGATTCGTGAATCACAAAGTGATTTTCAGAAAGTTCCTGAACTAAATAAGCAAATTTACAAAAAGACATGCATATACTACATAACTATGAAAAACATTTAAGAATTATAAGAAGGGAAAGTTCAAAGATTGCTATAAAAGTTCCTCCTAAATGTAGAAATATACTACTAGAGAGTTTTATCTTTCTGTCCAAGTTGTTCCAGTCTGTTATGGCCTGATAAGCGAGTCTTTGCTTTCCCCAATTCCTTGACACTTTAGGTGGCCTTAATAAATTGGTACAAGTATAATATTTGGCATTGGTACAAGTGATTTGATACAAAGGTTTATATCGAGAACGAGCAATACACGCACAAGTGATTTGATATAAGGTTTATTTCGAGAACGAATCGTACACAAGTGATTTGATACAAGAACGAACCAACTCCACATATTAAATTGCATACCGCGGTATGCATCATATTAATTTTATGATAACTCCTATACACTTGGCGCCATTTCTTTAAACCGAAAGTATAAACAAAATAAGTCTCCAAAGAAACAAAATTAATAACGTATATTATTTTGTGCTTATACAGGTTCGAAAAGAGTGAACAAATCAAAAGTGAGACACTGAGACTAAGAAGCATAGAGGAGGGGGTCTGGAGGGCAATTTTACTTATTAAAAATCGGGCAAATGATGAAAGGAAGTACGACGCGTATCACCGAAATAGCAAGAGATATGTAACGTTGGGAAATGTCATAATTGACGAATCGGTTGTTTTCGCGGACGGTGACGCCCGTAAATTTTTGGAAGGCATTTTGTATAGGTCGGGAATTTCCATGAATGTTGGGCAAATTTTTGTCCACCCCCCTCCCAATTTTTTTCCTGTACTAGGAAGCACAGTCTAATACAATCCCACCAGAATAATGTTGGTTTAGGTAAAGTGGATTTGCAATACATATCATCTAATTACCAACATTGTAGAGGGACGGGGGGTGGCAAAGTTTGAAAATTCAAAAAGTCTACGAATTTTTTTCTAGGATTGTCATAGAATCGAAGACTTACTCGATAGCCCGCTAAGGACTTTTGGTCACTTAGGGGACACTTAGGTACGATATAAATTCAACAAATTGACGTAATTTGTCGAATGCATAACGCAACTTCAATAATTTAGGTCAGCGGTGATGTTACCTAACCCGCACCTTCAACCCCCACCCTAACTTTAAATCCAGACGTCAGGGTGAAGGTTTAATGCGGGTGAAGCAATACAATGCCGACCTACTAAGTCGCGTTCTGCATTCTACAAATTACCCCCGCCACAATTTGATATATGCCTCGCATTCACTCTGATATATATTACAGCTAAAGAACCAAACACTGCGACGCTCGTTCTTCTCTGATTAAATAACATACGCTTCAATCCTTCATATTCTTTTATTGTTGCTTCCACCAGGGGCCGGTTGTTCAAACGCTAATCCAGTGTTAAAATTTAACCCACTGTTTTGATTTATATGCTTCTGCATGTTAGTTCATTTCACAACTTCAGAAAATAAAACTTAATTGATCTAAACAAGATTCGTGTACAAATATTTCCGAACTGTTTATAAAAAAGCAGTTTTGAGAAGAGTGCTTTGAATTTCACGCTAAATTAACCCTAGCTGGGTTAAGTTATCCGGCTTTCGAACAACCGGCCCCCGCAGGTTATGTTTTCATCCGCGTTTGTAGGTGTTTGTGTATGTGTGTTTGTGTCTGTGTCTGTGTGATTGTCTCTGTGCGTTTATCTCTGTGTGTTTGTCAACAGAATGCGTAATAATTTGGTTATGGATACAGTACATATCTCCAAGTACCTTCCAGTTTTGAAATCTATTAACCTATAACACTACAAATATATATTATATATCATGCAACGACAGTCTTTTACGCCCACGACAAACTGTTACACTCTGTGGAGTTGTTAGTGTCTATCAGCGATAATTCAAAAGCTCACTTCCCTTTGTGCACGCATTTTCTCACCACGAGCTTGCATCTGCCTCGTATCTACGCGTTTCTTTCGGCGATGTGCGTATGACACGTTCACATAACGTATTATACTGTAGTGGCGAGAGAAAGCGCTGATGGGAAGGGTGCACTTGAAATGCGCCCCAGAACGCACCCTTCCCAACAGCCCCTTCACGCTTCTCCTGCCTGAATACTTCAGTCCTTAAATAGTATATGCCCTTATTATATTTAAAGAGCCTGGGTATGAGGCAGGGCTTGCATGCTCTTGACATATTGGCATTTACAACAATTACAACAATTGGGCGTTTTTGAGTTGTGTGTTGAATGTAAACTTAAAGTACCCTTTTAAAATGATTTTAAGATGAACCAATTAATAAATAATCCTGCTGAACTTTTACGGTACGGCCGAGTTGGGCACTCTTCTATCTTATACAAAGAAACAAGGGTTACTTAATTAAAATACCGTGCCGGTGTTGAACTCATTTGGTTTACTGATTTAGGTATATGTTATTATAAAGACAAGTTTGATAAAGGTTTTTACATACATAATACGAGACACACTAAGAATCTAAAAACGCACGAGGCATAAGTGCTCTGCGATCCCATGATGCTTTTCTCATATGATATGACGTAATATGAACAACATGAAAATGTTGCGCAACACGTGGTTAAAAAATTCCAGGTTAATCTATGAACACTGTCAAAACTTAGTTAATGTTCCTCGTGAAATTTTCTGGTTCATTTAACCACAGTCCTGGTTAACCTGGTCATCGTCCTGGCCGAATTGACCAGATAATAATTATGCATGTTAGGTAATTGACCAGGAATTCGTGGTAATAGCCCACCAGACAAAATCTGGTTAATTCAACCATATAGCCTGGTTAAATTAACCAGGAAATTCAACGAGGAATATTAAGTAGCCCAAAACAGTGAACTGTCTGTGCCAATGCATAGTGCCAATAATATAAACAAGTTTTCGTTGGTAGGAATGCAACTACCTGAAAAATATAAGCGGAATTTCAACGTTTCGAAACGTCGAAATTCTCCTTATATTTTCAGGCAGTTGCATCCCTACCAACGAAAACTTGTTTATATTATTGGCACTACCTACACTGGCACAGACAGTTCAAGATTATACCACAAACAAAATTTTGTGACGACGATGGTCAACCCAGAGGATACCCAGTAAATGGTTCACCTCGTATCTTTCTGATAGACAACAAATAATTATAGTTAAAATAAATAACATAAGCTCTGACCCATCAACAATTTCCTGTGGTGTACCTCAAGGATCTGTTCTTGGTCCAATATTATTCTTGATCCAGATAACCGAGTTTCATCACTCTTCTTCCTTATTTGAATTCCATTTATTTGCTGATGATGCCAACTTATTTTATAGAATTGAAACGCCAAGTTTACAAAATCTACAATCTAACCTAAACCACGAGTTAGATAAGGTTTACATTGGGCTTTGTGCTAACCGGTTGTTTTTGGCATAGAAAAATCAAACTGTGTTATTTTCCATCCATCTCAGAGAAGGTTACACTCCAACATTCTGACTGTTAACCCTGAATAATATTCAATTGGAACAAAAAAATTGCATCGAGTATTTACGGGCGTGTTTATCAGGATTCGCACCTCTGCTGGAAACCTCAGATTGAATATATAGCCAAACAAATTAAGAGAAGCATCGGTGTCTTATCGAAGTTGCGCTATTTCGCTAGTACTAATAATACATTGATAACCATGTATTATGCTATGGTTTATCCCTTTCTAATATTCTCGATAATCGTGCAGTTGGGGAAATACTTATCCTTCAACTATTCAGCCACTTTTTGTGCTGCAAAAAAGGGCTATCCGAATTATGATTTTTTCCAAATTTAATGAGCACTCTAGCCCATGCAATATTTAAATCGTTGAATATTATAAAGCTGTGTGATCTTGTCACCCTACATATTGCAATATTTATGTTTAAATTTCATCAAGAGATGTTACCTCCTGCCTTTGAATTGTTTTTTTACGCCAGTGGAAAATGTCCATAATTATAATACACGTTCATTGGCTACACAGTCTTACTATCTCCCAAAAATAAGAACAAATTATGGTAAATTCAATGTACGATTTCAAGGACCTATAGTTTGGAATGCAATTGGTTTTCATGTTAAGTCTCTTTCATTTAAAAAATTCAAAAAATATTTAAAACAAGATTTCATAAGTAAATATTAATTTTGTTAAAATAAGAAAAAACTCCAGTATATGTTTATTTGTATTATATATGTTGTCTGTCTTTGTGTGTGTATACAGTATAATAATGTATACAAATGTCTGGGCATGGTTTCAATTTGGAGTAATGAATGAACCAAAAAATAAAGAGCCTTCTTCATAGTTCAGGCAAAATGTATTATTTTTCTCAGACGTTTCGCCGACTAAGGCTTCATCATTGAGTACAATAATACATAGATATATGATAAAATCGTCCTCTAAAGAATGTATTTTGCGGTAGCTTGATTGGCCTCAGCTCGTATGTGCATCATTGATAGGGCAAGTCATGTCCGCGCCATTGATTTTAAAGGAAATTGGCAGTAAAAATTAGTTTAATTCATTTGAAAGAACTATATTACAGATTGTTTATATCTTGCTTAGTTTTCAAAATATTTCAAGTACAGAAAAAAGTGAACTGTTCGTCATGTCGGATTGTTGAGGATATGCATGTTACGTCAAGAGAGGGCGGTCACACTAATTTTTATTTTGTGAGTTGGCGATCAATATGGGTCCAAAACCGTTCGTTTCTGATTGCTGTCTGAAATTTAGAAATGATTAAAAACATTTCAAACAATTTTGGATTGTTACTCGGTCATTTAGAGTTGTAATGAAGCGGTCAAGAATTAGTCTCAGATGGCGGAATGCTCATTAATTTCGGCGGTCTTGGTGTGATCACAGGTGAATATGATGCTTGTGATTTTACTCTGAGTGTATATAAACCGGATATACTAGCCCAATGCTAGCCAACTGATATACATACTCGAACCGACCTGACTTGCGGCGTAGCTCAGTTGGCAGAGCATTGGGCTAGTATTCCAAAGGTCGTACTAGGTTCGATTCCCACAGTGGCCAGGCATATTTTTCAAGCTTGCCCGGTGTGGTCGGATATATACACTCAGAGTAACATTACAAGCATCATGTTATTAGGATTGTTTACATTGTTTTCATCGTTTTAGTCCTCGCATTTATAGTAATTCATTATAATGGAATAAATTTTAAGGATGAATATGACATTTAAATAAAGAAAACGTGGTCAAAATCCTTCAAGCATGATCGGCATTGCCAAGTTCAATTGCAGGTATAATTACATGTAGATTGTCTCCAATTGCAATATATGCATGATGCTATCTTGACTCTGTCTTTGCATCCGTAACTATATCTGTACTTTAATGATGTAGGCTGTAGCTTAAAAAATCTATGCAGTTTGACTATCACAAGTATCATTGTTCAAGTACGAAATAAAACATAGAAAAAAGTGTTTAGTGCAGTTTCTGTAATCCCTATGTTGATCGAAAGACCGCGAATATTCGAAAGACGCTCATAAATTATTAACAAGTTATTTCTGCATCATAATAAGGCTGGAATGTCAACAGCAGGAGATTTGCATATTCCATGGATATCAAATGGAACAAAACAATTATCATTTACGGCAATAAAACCGTCTCTTCTCGAACGAACTGCCACACCTTTGACAGCTGACTATATATATATATATGTCTGTACTTGGATTTGGCCTTTGAAGTGAGACTGTGAAATTGTAGCTGGCAGACATGGCTAGTGTTGCAGCATTCCTCTCAGCGTTGATATTTAACTCTGTAATTGCTCTCGTAATCATTATAGTGTACTCCATTCTTCGACCGAAATTTGACATCGTTTACCAGCCAAGTTTTAAACTTCTTACTGAATTTCTCCACAATAAAATTCCCGAGAAGAAGCTATCGTTGTTGAAGAAAATCACGTTATCATCGTCCTTGTTTGCTTGGCTCACTCCAGCGTTTAAACTGAACGATAATGAGCTGTACGAAGTGGTGGGATTTGATGCTTTTGTCTACTTGAGATTCATACGACTATGCTTCAAAGTGACAGCATTCGCGCTACCTTATGCAGCTATTGTCTTGATTCCTATCAATATCGTCGATGGAAAAGATTTACCAGGAATGGATAGACTCACGCTAGGTAACATACCTGATGAGTCGAACAAACTCTGGGCTCATTTGATCGGCGTATGGCTATTCTCGTTTATCTTGTATTATTTTATTTATGCCGAGTGGAAGGTATATGTAAAATTTCGTCAAATATATCTCAAAGAGAAACGACAACATCATTATTCCGTATTGGTCACTCAGCTACCTTCTGAGGTAAGGAACTGCATAAAAAAGCTACTCTGCATCAGAATTTACAGGCTGGTTTACACTATCGAAGTTTCTGTGATCACAGACACAGGAGGAATTTTGCATAGCTATAAATTCGAAGGATTTGTAAGAAATGTTTGAAGGAACTGACTCTGACACCATGTTACCCTCAACCTTTCTTACAAATCCTTCAAGGCTTAGAATTTGCCTATGCAAAATTCCTACTGTGATCACAGAAATTTTGATATGATAGTGTAACCCGCGGCCTTACGATTAGTTTATGTTATTTCGAACTATTAACTTATCAGAAGTACTGTTATAACGGTGCTAACATTTGCCTTGTCTAATCTTGTATTTATACGCTACTTATAGCATAATTAGCTGGGTTGTATCCTGTGCCTTTCCGATTTTTCTGGTCAATTTTATTTACCATGCAAAACAGTTGGATACATTTTGACGTGGGTGTGCTGCGTGAGAGAATGCCTGTTTCCATGCAGTGATGGTGCATGCATGAAAAGACGGCACTATGTCTATGCATGTAGTCATTTCTCTTCTAGATCGCATCAGACAAACACGTATTAGATCGCATCATCATCATCGACTCGCATTGTAAGGAATAAAACGAGTAGGCAAACGAATAGGCGAGTAACCGAGTTTAAAACTTTATAAAACCCCCTACCGCTAAACTCCGCACTTCAACCTGAGAAATTTGAGCTCAACTGCGCAGCTAAATAATACGAGTCGACTTTTAGCAAGTTCAACCAATGAAAATACATGAAACTGTAAATGATACATAATTCTAGATTTAGTCTACAGTGAAACCCTGCCTTATGGACCTCTTTATTAAGGTGGAGTAATACGGGCAACAAAATTGCTGCAACTTGCAACAAAATATCTTTATACGCATGTTAAGTAGAAATGTTGACACATCATGTTACCTCGTGATTTGTAATATATGTGTAAACATTTTCAATTACAGTGTAACATGCGTATAAATCAGATTTTGTTGCAAGTTGCGGCAATTTTGTTGCCCGTATTACTCCACCTTTACGGCCACTTATTTTTCTCCCCGAAAAACGCCAAGACAAGAAGACATTTTCTTATAAAGATAACCCTTTAATATGGCTGGCCGTTAATACGGCCAAATTTTTTCAGCCCGTCCGCCTTGGCCGCATTAAAGGGGTTCCACTGTAAGTTTCAAGTGGGCCTCTCAAGAACGGCGCGCAAAAATGCGAACGGTAATATCAATGGCTATAATATATTAATGCATACGTTAATTATATACGTTCCACTAAGTTCTAAAATATGCGTGCGTATGCAACTGGGCCCTAGACGAAATTGCTAGAATATGCTCGAGAATAGGTGAGCAACGTGAGCAAAACCACAGAAAATATCAGTTTTAACCGTTTACTACATTATATTTTTATTAATTTTAATTAAGCACATTCGATCTTTTCAAGCACGGAAAGATCTCGCAGTATATGTCGTCAGCTACATACCAACACCATAGACATAGACAATAGACATTGGTCGTATTATTTATAAAATGGACAGTTCCCGACGCCTTCGCTCGAAACGTCGAAGTTCTGCTTATATTTTTCAGTCGTTTTATAATAATCAAGTCGACAAATCGCAATGTAAAAACGTCATATCTGTCATATCTGTCATATATATATATATATATATATATATATATATATATATATATATATATATATATATATATATATATATATATATATATATATATATATATACATATATATATATATATATATATATATATATATATACGACAATGACCAAAACTTGCCTTAGCCAACAGCACATAATATTACGACAAAGAGATGGCTACGTATCGAAGAAATTATTAAAGATGACTAAAGTAAAGTATACAAATAATACATTTTCGGCCGCTTGACACGGCCTTCGTCAGAATAAAAACTAAGTTACAGCACATGGCATTTATACTATTTAGCATGCTAAGTAATTAACCTAAT